TATCAAAAAGGAACCTTGGATTTTGATGTCTGAGAAACATTGATCTAGAACACAAATCGGCATGTATGTAGAAATACGGATGGGAAGTAGGCCTTCTATTTACCTGTTTGGAAAAACATACAAAATTGGAGGGAAATGAAGCAGAGATTTCCATAAGAGAGGAAAATTTGTTATTTGCTCATATTGAACTTAAAATGACAATGCAGTCAGTATTTGTCCAAGTGAAGACATTTAACAGGGAGTTAAAAATAAAACTCAGAGAGCAAGGAGACTGAGGTTCCAGCTCCTGGCATGGAAATGAGCCTGACGGTATAGGTGGTATAAGTTATGACAGCTATGAGAAATACAACATGAGTATTTAGAGTAAAAAGAAAAAGAAAGAAGAGAATGAAACTTTTATGAGAACAGGCAGAAAATGAGAAACTACAGGAGAAACAAAAGAAATAACAAAGATCAGTCTTCAACAGAAAGTAGGCAACCTCTTCTTTAAAACAGAAAAATGCATAAATATGAGTTGATTCCCTCAGAATCTAAGCTTCCTGTGGAAGAATAAGGGTAGAGGCGACCAATGAACTTGGACTTTACCACAGTGGGAAAAGGGGAGGCACCTTAGTAGCTTGCAGTTAGGGTTGTAAGTGAAGTCACATGTGTAGGAATACACTTTGAAGGACTGCATGCCTTCCATAAAACTTAGTCCCTAAGAATGACTGGCTGACAAGATTAATACAGCCAATGTTGAGAGCCTGACAATGATGATGCTAACAGATAAAATGGGAGAGGAAACAAGGGAGGTCAGTATTCGAGTGATGCCCCATGAAGTGCGGGGCAAAAACAGCGTGAAAGAGGTTCACTGTTCAGGAGTTAGAGCAGTAGAGAGAAGGGTGAAAGCTGTGGAATGAAAACAGAAGAAAGAAAATAAATAAAAGCAAGAAAAATTAAAAAGCTAGAAAGACGAGAACTGTCCAGTTACTAAAATATAAGACTTTAGAAAGAGAAACCGAGTGTGGCTCATACTTAGGTTCAGTTACATAAATGACTGGAATGTGAAGGCGTCACCAGGACAGAAGTGAAGTGCATCAGAAGTTATCAAACAGACCATCGCAAGACAACAGGATTTGAGGTAGGCAGAAAAACAGTGAGCAACACAGTAAACTAGGCTCTTTGGCCTTCAGCATTTCAATCCTACTGAAAGGCAAAACATATGTAAAGTTCATTATATGCAAAGATGTGCCTTAAAAGCATCTGAACTGACGACAGACTCATCTACACAGACTTTTACCTTCATGATTGGAGAAACCATGCAGTTTTTGTTTTAAACAAAATAAAATAATTTATAAAATGGGTAAGTAAATAATCTAAGTATTGTTAGTAATGGAGGGCAAAATAAATAAGATTCATTTTTTAAAATCTTTTGCTGTTTAGATTACTGGAAATAAAATCTAAATATTATTTATAATCTTCTAATTGCCTACATTTATATCTATACTATATATTTGAAACAAGGAGAAAAACTGATTTCCATCTTTGAAGAATGCATACTTCAAAATAAGGAGATTTCACGTTACATATATTTTAGTACAATAAAAAATATAACCTAAAATATTAGAAAACAACTGTCCATCTACATTGGGTTCCTCCTTACCAGTGGCAGGTTTACATGTCGTTCAAGTTCAGTTAGAATGGCATATATGCCATTAGAGAATACTGTCTTCACAGACCTAAGACTACACAGGGAAAGGTGAGCATTAGAGAAGCGCAGCCACACTGGGCATCTTTATGTAGTGTAACAGTCTCAAGATCAGTGTAGTACATTTTCTTTGTCGAAGCCTTCTTTCCCACTTCAGCAATCTTTCGAGCTGAGACCTTGATGCAAACCTAGCTACAGCGCTGCTGAAAGAAGCTTAAGATCTGCTTTGCGTTGGCAGTGTTCCACTCTTGCTCTCTCAGAGGTCCTTCACACACCGACACATACTTCTTCAAGATTTTTTCTCCTACTTCTCGGAAATCCAAGGGTTCTTTGTGTGTTGTGCAGCTTGCTCCAAAGCCATCAGTATCAACTTCATGATTTTCTGACTGTTGATCTGTGCAATGCTTTAATCCCCAGTAGCACATTTCTCCACTGTACATCATAGCCAGCACATGAATATCACTAAATATTCCTGGGAAGGACATTTAGAATTAAGTTTATAGAAAACACCTTCAGTTATTGGAGAACTATAAATCTCTGACAATAAGCCTTTGTCACACCATTGCTGGCTGGGAGAAGGCCACTGTCACCAGCACAGTCCTAACTTAGTCGGCACTTCTCTTTTACCTTGAAAAGTTCAACCCCAGACAAAGCAGAGCACTGTCAAACGATATTTTAAAACCACTTACTTTTGCTTAACATTAATAGAAGCCCCTTTCAGACCAGTTTTGAGAATTAATTTCACTCCTGGAGCCCTTCTAGATTACACCCTAAATTCTCTATACAACTTCAGAACTCTCATGAATTCCTGAATCATACTTGTGAACACAAAGTCCATTTTGAAAGATGCTCTATGACATGTTCTATACATGAGACTACTGATAGTCTCATGTACCTTCATGTATCTGATAGGCTAGACAATTCTAAATTATCACAGATGATGATACCCAAAATGCTTTGTATCACTAGCAAAAACACCACCCAGGACAATTTCTATCAGAAGATGAATATTCCTTTAACATTATTCCCAGCAAGTGTGTAATTAAATATTTACTATCAAAGCATGTTAATTTGTTAGAAACATAAATTACTTAGGTAGACTAGGAGTAACAAGAACATTTGCAACCCCAATAACCTTGGAGATGGGTCAGGATTATGGCTGCAGACCAACTTCCTGTACTACATAGGAGTTCCAGGTCAATCTAGGCTACACAATAAAACCTTATTTCAAAAAACCAGAAGGAAAAAAGTAAGTAATTAAAACAAAAATAAGTATAAGATATATGATCTTTCAATTTCTTAAGGTCACTTAACATAAATAAATGATTTATTCTAACATATAAGTACTTGTGTGGTAAGGAAACTTATCTCAAATTAATAATCATGATAACTTCACCATGTTGGTTTTAAAAAGAATGGCCCCTATAAGTTCGCATATTTGAACGCTTAGTCACTGAAGGGTTACACTATTTAAAAAGATTAAAGGTACAGCCTGTTTTGAGGAGGTGTAGCACTCAGTAGTCAACTTTGAGGGTTCAAAACCCCATGTCAAGCCCAGAGCCTTACTCTCTGCCAGGCCCAAGCTCAATGTCCCTCTGTCTTTCTTTCTCTGTCAGTGTCTCTGTGTCTCCCTTTCCCTCTCCATACCCTCTCCCTCTCCCTCTAGATCAGGAAGCTCTTAGCTACTTCACCAGCAGAATGCCTGCCTCCCTGCTTCCACCATGCTGAGAATGGACTAAACCTCTGCATCTGTAAGCAGCCCCCAGGTAATGCTTTCTTTATAAGAGCTGCCTTGACCATGGTGTCTCTTCACAGCAACACAACAGTGACTATGAGACTCACCTACAACAATTCAATACAACTATAGCTAGGATGGCAGCAGAATTCAGTTCTGCTGTTTTAAATGTACCAAAGTCCCAAAATTTGTTCTTATATGCTGTCATCTTCAAATTCTTCCTAAAAACAGTGGAAAGTGAAGTAAGAGGTTCAGCAGAATAGCTGACTCACTAAAGTATTGTATCAACAAAAAGTAACTACTGGAAAGCTGAATCTGGGGTTTGAATTCATGAAAATGAAAGAGCACACTATACTATGTTTTCTATGTATAAAACAAGTTCTATGTAACTTTAAAAAGCCTGAAATGTCTATCTCCTTTAAAACTTACTTCCAGTATGACATTAATAGCCAAATTTGATACTGGTCAAAATAAAAATAAGCAAAAGTAATATGCTACATTATATGCTCTCTAAAATCGTCTCCAGCTCTGGCATCCTTTTCTGGCCTCCATGGGTACCAACATACATGCATATCCATTTACCCACACACAATCACATGAATAATAGTTTATAAGTGCTTATACATGTTATATGTGTACATGTATATGTGCACACACATATATACATATAAAACATGTATGTACACACATATGTATGTACGCATGTATGTATGTCAGCTTACTATGTAACTCTGGCTGTCCTGGAATTTACTATTAGATCAAAGTGACCTTGAACTCACAGATCCACATCCCTCTGCTTCTCAAGTACTGGGACTAAAGACCTGTGCCACCATATCTAACCAAAACTAAGTATTTTTAAAGTGTTTTTCCACATTATATGAAAAGATTTTAATACTTAAATTCATTTAAAATCTAGCATGAAATTTAAATAAGAGTAAGTTAGCATGCTTTCTAAAAATCTTTAAAAAAAAAAAAACTTTTCAATCACTTAGAAAATTTTAACAAGAAACCACATTACCTGTACTTAGTAACTTAGCTGTGTCTAGGTCTTGGAAAGAAACACCTTCATTTAACTGGACAGGACATCGATAATTTAGCATCTGTAGCAAGTAATTGATCCCATCAACAAGGTACTAAATAAAGAAGCCAAATAAATTAAAACATTACATAAAGAACTAGAAAAACAAGTACCCTTTTCTCATTCTTTATTCAAAATTAAATGAACTGACATATAGGTACATATAATTTCTATTACATTCCAATGGCATTTGGACTCAGCATTCTAAGACTGTCCTAATATAATTAAACCCTCAAATACAAGAGTGTGAAACAAGAAAAAAAGTCAAGTACAAACACATGCTGACGTAATACACTTGTTCAAAAATGTTATCAAAGGAAAACTTCTGTAAAGATGGATTAAAAATAACTTTACAAATATATATGGAGTTTCGTTTGTTTTGTAATCCTTGGAACTGAAGCTAGGGCATCATGTTTCCAAGCTGACGAGAACTATGGGTACATTTAGAGTGAGCTAGACTTCTTAGTGACATAATACTAAGATCCATGTCTTTGTAATAAAATTGTTAGAACCAAGATAAATCACAGGTCATACTGTCTTAAGAGCAGGGTCATACAGGCTCCTCAGGTGTACCTTGCCTGAGATACACACAACAAGACTCCTTCAACCAAAGAAAATATTTAGAAATGAATAGCTTTATTTTACATTCAAACAAATATAAAAATCAAGAACTTAAGAAACTCATGTAGTAATTTCCAAATGATGATAATCTGTCATGTGTCATCTTATTCTTCACAGCAATTCCAAGAACCTGCGATCCTAAAATGTATGTCTCCTAGTCCAGAACCTCTCATCTACGACTGCTACAAAACGGTTTAAATCCTGTAGATGTCAGCAATTAAAATCATATGTGACTTTTTTTTTTTTTTTTTTTTTTTTTTACCTTTTGAAGCAAATTAGATTTTCTCAGGAGCCACTCCCTTCTCTTAGTCAAAGAATGACAATACATATACAACAGGGCCCCTCGTCTCCAAGACAGGCACTCCAGCAGCTCATCCCCAAGCAAATCACACAGCTAAAAGGAAACATAAAAGGAATAGCCACAAAGAAAAGCCATGTATCTACAAAAAGATAAAACTTCTAAAGAAAACAATTAAAAGTACTCATTTGACAGAACCTGTCCAAGTTAGGTTACAGAGGAAAACTTACATTTGAATTAAGTAAAAATACTGCAGTCTGTTGGTAAATAGCCATTAAAATAACTCTGTAATTTACAAATAGTTTTATAAAATACCTTGAAATTATAATAGAAAATTCCACTACTATTATTTGGAAAATGCAAATTCATTATCTATTGAAAGATATCATTTTAGAAACACATTGATTTGAGGCTGAGCAGTGGTGGCGCACGCCTTTAATCCCAGCACTTGGGAGGCAGAGGCAGGAGGATTTCTGAGTTTGAGGCCAGCCTGGTCTACAGAGTGAGTTCCAGGACAGCCAGGGCTATATAGAGAAACCCTGTCTCGAAGAAAGAAAAAAAAAAAAAAAAAAAAAAAAAAACCACATTGATTTGAAACTGTGTCTTTTTTCTAGAAAGAAATAGGAATTAAAGACTAGAGCAAGAATTAAACTGCTAGAATAATGAAAAGTTATATGCAAAAAATAATTTTAACAAATCAAAATATTTGTAGTGGTATGGCCTTTATATCTCAGTAATTTACTCTTTCTGCTAACCTGTCCTAATGAACACATAGAGCCAAGAAGATATTTAGGTAGACACTGAGCAGGCATTTAAATACAAGAAAGAATTTACTTCAAGTAGTATTTAGCAGAGCCAGCAAGATGGCTCAGCAGATAATGGTGCTTGCTGCCAAAGCTCAAGGCCTGAATTCAATTCAGTAGCTAGGGATTTCATAGCTGGGCAATAAAGTAGTGTAGTGGTATATCTGTCCAATCTAGGGTGCAGCTTATAAATATATTAACTGAGTTGTATGTTCTTTGCACTGACATACTGGAGTTGGAGATTTACTGATACAAATATGGCTGGTATAAATATAAACCTCTAGTGTTTTTCTTTCATGGGGCTAGAGGGAGCTGAGTGAGACCGGAGTGGTTGTTGGTGTTCTGTAGACCAGCCATGGGAACTGTGGTTAGATGGCCACCTGGAGCTAGCTGTGAAGGATGGGCGAGACCGCCCATACTGGTACCTAGCTGGAACAAGTGTGGGTTCTTTTAAAATTACATGCTATATAGAACTTGTATGGTAGAAGACGAGAACTGACTCCAGCAAGCTGTTCTCTGACCTCCATATGTGTGCTGTGCACATGTATGTTCATGCACACATACAAATAAAATACAAATGAATGAAAAAAATTAAAAGAGTATCCAGAACTAGATATGTAAATCCACCTAGAGAAGGTAGCTAAAAATTGTGTAAACAAGACATCACAGACATAACACAGACTATCAAAAGATGAAGGAGACATATTTAGTCAATGCCTATCTGTCTCTTAAATGAGAAAGAAGAGGGTTTCTGACAAAGAACAAAAGAATACTTCCTACGATGATGGAGAAAAAAAGCAGCCAGAAGATGGATGATCAGTGCTAGTAAGAAAGGTTAAAAATGTTCATCAGGATCAGGATTTTAAACAGACAGTAAGGGCTAGGTATGGCAGGACATGATTTTAATCCCAGTACTTAGGAGATGGAGGCAGGTAGTTCTGTAAGACTGAGGCAGGCCTGGTATATAGAGTTCAGCCAGCATTTACATAGTGAAACCTTGTCTCAAAACTTTAAAGGAAAAAAAATAAAGCCAATAAAAACAAATGTATCAATTAGATTTTATGACTGTCAAGAAACAAGACTTGCACAAGTAAAAGGGACATGGGTATATCTGTGTTAGAAAAGGATTCTGTGATACACTGCAATTCAAATTCCATTATATAAATATTCTAAAAGTACATTTTAAAATACACTTTCCGATCATAGCCTGGAGTGTTAAGTTCTCTTCCACCACTCCCTCTGTCTTGAGACAGGATCTTTCTAAGTACTCTTGGCCAGCCTGGAACTCACTATGTAGACCAGGCTAGCCTTGAACTCACAGAGATCCTCTGCCTCCCAAGTGATAGGATTAAAGCATGTGACATCACTACTGACAAACCTCTTTTTTTAATCTTAACATAAAACAATGATACACTCACCACAACAAAAATACAGACTAAAGAGCAGGGCAGCAGCAGGACAATATGACAAGTTCTATCATCACTGGATAGGGCGGAACTTACTTTGGGATGCATATTGTTTTCTTTAGCTAAAATTTCTGGTTCTGAAAGAAAAGCGAGCAGCTCTTTTACTTTCTGTGGCGAACAGTCCTCAGGAAAATCCTCATCTACTAGCTTATTCTCCTCAAAATATGTCATGTCCAATATGGCCTTAAGACAAAGAAGAAAATGCATCTGTAAGGGATGGAACTTCACCACAGAATAAGGAGTTTAGCCTTGAGTATGAAAAGCATTATTAGACACTCAACCATGTCGGCACAGTATTTAAATGTGAAAGTAAGCAAACTGTTTAGCCATAAGCAGGATTAGGGATGACATCATTTCAAGAAGTAAATGAAGATTCATGTTTCAACTAACATGTTATAATTATGGAAATGTAATCAGTTATTTGCCATTAATACTTGTATAATCCCTGAAGTATTACAGTCTACTTTTTCTTTTTAATAATGAATCTTTGGGGGTTTGTCTTCCCAAATATACAGCCAGAATATGCCAAATATGCATCCTGCTGCCACATAAATGAAGCATGCCATCAATATACACAATCCCAGCACTGACTCCACAGTAGCCTATAAGACCTTAAAAGACCTTTAGCACTTTTACATATTTAATCTATTTGATTCACACTAAAGAAACTGGGCTATAGTGGTCACCAAACTAACCAAAGCCAGCCAATGTCCTTTCAAAGTTTCTTCAAGGGTAACAATGAGTATGTAAAACACATGAAACACTCCAAGCACAATAAGTGATACAAAATCAGGATGGAGAACGATTGAAGAAACACCTAATTCCAAGCTCTGATCTTCACATAAACACATACAAGTGTATCAGCACCCGAGTCCATAGGAATACATGTGTACACATATGCACCCCCAATAGAGCCACATTTCACATTTGTTTTAGTACCTGTGTGTATAGTTCCAAAAGATTGGATGGATTTGAACATTCCTTCTCTTCTCCACATAAAAGTTTCAATTTTTCTAGAGCTGCAGAGGCCCGAATTAAAAAGTGATCTGTAAGTAATAAAAACATGATAAGTTTACATACATTCAAACATTTAAAGAAGGAAAACTATGCAACATAAATGACATAACAAAACTCTATCATAGAGAGTGATATTATAGAGAGCGAGTGATATCTTACCTCAAACACTAAGTATTACATACATAAAAACCAATCACAATGAAGTAAATTTATTCTCAAAAGCAAAGGAGTGAAAGCTTTACATTCATTGTTGCTATTTCTTAAATCCAGTACACATTCTTCTTTATGAGCTTTTATTAAGGGATTATTACGTATACAGCCCACTTCTTTCTTGGGTATGTATACATGTGTGTGCATGTAAAGACGGCTATCAAGTTGTCTTCCTTAGTCATACACATACTTGAACACAGAGCTTGTGATTCTGCTAGCCTAGCTAGTCAGCTTGCTCTGGGAGCACTGGAATTCCCTGGGAACCACTAGGCCAATTGGCACTTACCACACAGTTCATCATGCTTGACCTGCTGAGCCATCTATGTAGCTCTCAGTCTAGTCTTACAATATTTCTTTTACACTGTTGATATGCTCTAAATACTTAAAATTTTACAACTTTTACTGGAATAATACGAAATCTACAAGTTTGCAGAAAGAGCATCTACTGAATGCATGCAATTTCATACATCTACTTGCTAAATTAACTAAAAGAAAAGTTGATCAGATCAAATATTCATAAAATATCAGACTGTAAACAACACTAAGTTTACCATACTTGTATTTCTAGCTGGTATAACTACAATGACAATTTAAAGGGTTATATCTTATTCCTTTAAAACTTCAAAATGAGGGACTGGAGAGATGGCTCAGTGGTTGATAGTACCGACTGTTCTTTTAGATGAGCCTGGGTCCAAATCCCAGAACCCACATGACAGTTTACAACTGTTTGTAACTCCAAGATCTGATACCTTCACACAGACATGCATACAGGTAAAACACTAATACACATACAATCGACATAAGTTATTTAAAAAAAAAAACTTTGAAATTGAACAAACTACTTCATTCCTTCAAAACCTACAGAAAAAAAAAACAAAACCAATACTTCCTCCATGTTTTCTTACCACAATTTACCCAACTTTCCAAACTTTACCACCTTAACTCAACCATCTGTTTGCTACAATATTTTCATAAATAGATTTCAGATTTTGAGGGCCCCAAAGTTACTCTTCACCCTTCTGCTTCATTTCATGCAGTACATATGCAGACCACAGTACAAGACACATCTTTTCTGAGATACAGAACCTTTCCTACTCATCCACCAGTGGATAGACAATGTAGTAATTGGTGTGGCTTCCGCAGTTACATAAAGAGATAAGCTGTTCAGTGTTGGAATAAAACTACCATCAGATACGTCAGCAGGCAGTCACTTAATGACCTTTAGTTTTCCTCCAGTAGCTGTAGCTTTAGAGGATTTTCTATTGCTGTAAGTCAGAACACTCTTAGTTAGCAGTCTTCACATCTCTCACTGGCCTAGAAGTACCAACCCTACTACCTAGAAAACAAGATTCTACTGAGAACCAAAATAGTCCAGATCTTGGCACTCCCCAAGTGCTCTACAAGCTGTTTATATTTTTCCCTTAACTTCTGAGATTATTGTAAATGCAAAGACTTGTTCTGAACTGTTGATGTCACTGCTGAAGAGGAGTGTCATAGGTATTATTATTGGTTGGGTGTGGTGGTGGCATATCTATCATTCTGGAAAAGCACATAAGAATACATTCCCTTTTATTAGAAATATTTAAAGTAAACTGGCAAGGTAAAAAAAGATAAGTGACTCATACAATCTTCAGAGAAAGTCCTTCTTATAATTCTATGTAGGACAATATCACACTGTTAAGAATGAGAAATAGATGAACAATAACAAAAAAAAAATGGCCATACATACAAAGAACATTCTTAAGTGGAATGATGGTTACCATTCTATTATTTAGTATGAATAAAATAGAAACTAACAATACTGACAACTCAATAAACACATATGACGGTTAAGCTAAAGAACAAATTTCCGATGTATATTGACTTTGTTGTATGAAAAAGGACCAAGTTTAATTCAAATACATACAATCTCATTTTAAGTAAGCCCTGTTAGTACTTCTCTAGTAAGATTAACTTCAATGTTGACTAGTAGCTTGTAAAGCAGATGGCTAGCTACAGTTTTGATTTTAGTAAATTTTCACATGTATAAAGCCTCCAAACAAGGCCATGTAACATTCAGCTTCTTTCCAGGCCTCTTTTTTACATCAGACCATAGAATTCTTTCATAAGAAAATATGAATTACTGTTAGGTTCAGTAATAAGTGAATAAATCTACCCAAGCTCTCTGGGCTAACACATGGATACAGCCCAGGTAGGTAACAGTGACTATAAATCCTATGTTCCACTTGCTACAAACCACACCTCAGTGTGGTGTGTGGTCATGTGCTTCATTTAATTGTAGAACTGATTCTGTAAATATACCAACTATTCAATCACCTGAGAGATGTATCTCATTATGGTCTTTCTATGAGTCTAATCACAAGAATTTTAAAGCTCATGTATGGTAAAGGCTCAATATTAAAAAAAAAAAAAAGTACTGTCAAATTAATTGGCAACTGCGAATTTATAAAAACCAAACCGAGTCTGATGACAGAAGATTGTAGTATGTCCTAACCCATTTCCCTTCTAAGAAAATAGTTAAGAACTAAAACGTTGGGGGGTCGGGGGGGTACATTTAAATTACACCATAACTGTGTACAATACTATTTATTTACAGTTGAATTTTGAATTGAACACAAAGTGGAAATTTACAAGGCAGTAATGAAAAAGTAAACTGTCATGCATGTCTCTATTTACTGGATGCAAAAAAATACTGTTCATTTTTGGACAGTATAAACATTCTGGAAAACGTCCATGTGTACTTTTATTTAAAGTCTATCCTCGCAGATTCGACACCACACATCTGGTCGGATGTAAACAAAATGGATTTTAAGGAATGTAGAAAACGCTGTATTGGTAACAAGACCTCTGAGGAGAGGGCAAATGACTGCCCAATAGGGATCAGCTCAGAAGTGCCAGCCCCCATCGGGGCCAGGACCAGGGACCCCGCCTCGGACCGAAGGCCGCGCCTTCTGGCCACCGAGCGCAGCCGCCCCACGGGTCTCACCACCGTCCGCCCACTTCCCTCTGCGGCGCTCCCTCACCGTCTTCCCCCGCGGCTTCGCTAAGGTGCTGTATGTGAGCCTGAGCCAGGTCCCCGAGCTCTTCCACCCGCCTCACCACACCGGACACCGCGGCCGCCATGGCCAGCTCGGGCGCTCCCGCCCTGTCCACGTGACCACGCGGGCCTGAGATCACCTGACGGCCTGGCTGGCGGAGTGGGGGCGGAGCCCGCCCTGCCGGTGGGCGGAGACATAGGCTCCGGGCTACGACCGCTTGGGCCCGCAAAGGTCGTTCCGGGTATTTAGTTCCTCCCAGTGGTCCTCTCCCTCCCACAATCCTGTGCTGCGAGGGGCCGGTATGATGTAAGGGCACACCTCTCTCCCGCCTCCTTCTTTTAACCAATCGGAAGCCGACCGTGCTCTAGGCTGAGCCAATAGGACATCGGCCCTCTCCTCGTGTGCGGAGAGGTTGCAGCTTCTGCCGCTGGCAGGGAGAGGGCGGATTGCAAGGTCTGGAGAGAGGATTGCAGTGGTTGGCGTTGTAGTGAAGGAGGGTGACTAAAATAAAACTTGATTGTTATGGGGGAGGTCAGAAGCGGAAGTCTGCGGACTGGTGAGATTCTTCCAAGCTGTGAGATGTAGTATGAGGTCGGACAACTTGGCAGTCCTTGGCGTGCTAGCTGGAATAATGCTTTTCCGGATTTTAATCCTGGAGCTTGTTTTTATTGCGGGTTTATCTTGGCTAGCTCACATTTAAAGTACTTAAAGTACGTTAAATGTCTTGCGACCTAAACGTGGTAGCGACCTCACTGTTTTAGTTCACCTTGAGACCTTCCCGACAAGTGTTAAGTGTTCTCCCGGGTTTTAATCAGCACTCAAGTGGTCAAATGGACTTTGCATCTCATGAATGCTAATTCTTGCCGATGGCCACGGAAATCTAATGCTGTTTTGTTTTTTGGTTTTGGTTTTGTTTTTCCCGATTTGACACAATATATTTTTTAATAACCCTACCTTTCATATTTTTAAAGTTTTTGTTGTAGCCTAGTAGAAAATATTAAAAATATGAAAATAGTAATGTGAACGTTTAAGAGTGACTAACCACAGTGACTTTTCTGCAAGTGGCCATGGTAACCAGTTTTTTTTCTCTCCTGTCATTTTACTCTAAATTCACAAAAACAAAAACGTGTGTACCATGTCCTCGGTACTTGTATAATGTCCGTATGTACTCGGAAAATGGTTTTTAATCAAAAACAATAACAGCAAATTCTCATCTTACTTTCTAATGAAGAACCTGAAGGCCAGGAAATTTGCCTTCTATAACCAAGGTGAGCTGGAAAATGCAAACTCTTGTGCTAGAGTGTTGATTTACTCTGTAATCCCAGCACTTGAGAGGCTAAGGCTGGAGGGATGCTGCCAGTTCTAGAGCAGCCAGTACATAATGAGAACCAGTTTACAAACAAGCCAGTAACCAACAGAAATTAAGGACCCATTTTCTGACATGCCAAACTTCACTAAATAAAATTTACAGGCACAAACTATAGAGATCATTCCTGGCAGCCATACAGCCACTCCCAACTGTCTAGACCTCCAGCCCCAGGGCATCTGATGCCTTTTTGTTTGTTTGTTTGTTTGTTTGTTTGTTTGTTTGTTTTTTGGTCTCCGAGGGCATTGTATGCAGGCAAAATACCCATACACATAAAAGTAAAGAAAAAAAACTACAGTCATGATGATACATCAAACCACAGTATTACAGATGGAAAGTATTAACACTAGGAATTACTGTTCAACTATTACTTTGGTGTGTTCATTTTCAGAGAGACAGTTGGAAGGGATTTAAGCCTAATAATCTAGTCCTTTATTTGCAGATAAGGAGAATGAGAAGGATGCAACTGTTAACCTCCAAACGATAGAATACATGATTCTGTGGTTTATTCAAGATCTTAACGAAGTAAGTTCCCATAGAAGCTAGTTTTGTCCAGAGAGACACAGGCATGAGCCCGACCTTAACAATTCACAATGGAGTATTTAAACACAGAACCCTTGTACTAGAAAAAAATGCATTTCCTCTCCAACTAATAGTTCTTTTTACTTTAGGAAATGTACATGAATAGAACAAATAAAAGATAAATGCTAGATTTATTTTTAAATCTCAGATAAATTATAATGTGTAAAGAATATGAAATGAACAAATTGATCCCATTCGAATTATCTGCCTTTTCAGTAACATACAAAATTTAGCTAAATATCCAGCAAAGAAGAAATAAATTTATGTAGATCTTTTTGAAAGATTTAAAGCTTTTAGATTTAAATATTTTTTAACAGAAATCTTGCTAGTCTCTGAACTATCTACCAGTTCTGTTACTACTACTAGTGGCTTGCAATATTCTTTTGAAAACTTCTCTAACTACTTTGGTTTGGGGCTGGGGACGGACTTATTTTCTCATGTAAGTGTACCAAATGACTGACAGTGATGCGTAAGTGTGAATGCAATTACTTGCCAGAGATGACTTCTATGTACTGGGACCATTACATATTTATTTGGTTATGAACTCTGATTGTTGGCACTGCAACAGTAAGTACTTCTGCCACAACCCCTGCCCTCTTACAGTTTATCTACTAAAGCAATATAGAGGTAATAACAAGACACAGGGAATTTGAAATTTTAGAATTGCAGAAGGCACTAGGAAGGGAAAATAAAGAAGTATGATTTGATGGGAGATACTGAAGAAAGTGCGCCTCAGGAAATTATATTGGCACCTAAGTGATGATAATAATTGGCCGATAAAGAGCAATAGTTGCTCAGCCAGGAGCAGATCAAGAGAGAGAAAACACATGATGTCCAGCATAGTGATAAACACTGCTAGGTCCAGACTTGGGCAAGTGGTGAGCTGAAGTCGTGAGTTGACTAACAAAGTCTTGCTAAGAAAAGGGAATGGGGCAAGGCCTCATGGTAATTCAAACATAAATAATTCAACTTAAGAAATTATGAAGCTTTAGAATGACAGTGTATCTTTAATAAGAAGAAAGCTCTGAGGAGTAAGAGTCACTGAAGAAATAGCTGTACTCAAGGGATGAAGATTCAGATCTTTCTGGAGTGCTCCTGCCCATAGTTTATTGGGTGGCAGTAAGTCACTGGTTCACTTCAGAAAAATGTTCTGGAACTCTGTTTTCTGAAATTTACTTTAAAGAAAAACAGAAAAATCTTCTAAGGCAGTGGTTCTCAACCTTTCCTATGTTGTGACATTTTAATTCACCTCCTCATGTTACCCTTTACCATAAAATTTTATTGCTACTTCATAACTCTGATTTTTCTGCTGTTATTAATATAAATGTCTGGTATGTTACTCCCATTTGGTCTTTAAGAGTTTGTGACCCACGTATTGAGAACCACAGCTCCATGATTTTAGAGAAATCTGTTCATGCAGAAGTATCTCACAGCGGGCTCACTAGAATAAAATTTCACGAGTGATTCTTAGAACAAGCTGGTAGTTGTTTTTTTATATATATAATAATTTGTAGCCCAAAGAACTTAGATTATCAATGATAGGAGCCTGGTACCAGCAAGCTACCCATTATTCATGAGACTGCCAAGAAAGTACACTCATACCAGGAAAGACCTTTTGCCTCCTGCAATACCTTTCTAATTCCTTCTACAATCAAAGTTTAATAACATATCTGCTGACAAAAGTAAAAATTTAAAGGGCCTACTTGTTTGCTTGCACAAGTAGGCCAAGAGGTTAAGTTGGAGCTGAGGCAAGAAATTTGTAACTGTTAAGGAACAGAAGAACATGCATGATGCAGGAGATAACATACGAAAGAGGTCTTGAGTTGGGAAAGAGCTTAGCACCTTGTAAAAATGAAAGAAATCCAGGCAAAAGCCAAGAATGGAAGAGAGAGAACAGGAAGGTGAGGCCTTAGAACACACGTAGAGGTTACATCGAGAACAGATACCTCCCTCTTAACCACAGGGATGGACCCCAAAATGTGTATGTAAGCCCCAAGTTGGCCATACAGTTAATTGTCTACTGGACCTGAATTTCAACAGAATGACTCTTGGCCCTTCATATCATCCTCGTGGGTCAACAGGAGGAATCAATTTATATGAACCTGAATCCATATGCTGTCTCTGCTCTTTCACTGTATGATAACCAGAAGGTGAATTAAAATCTCTAGTCCTCAAGTTGTGCATTTATTGAATGAGGGTCACAATAACTATGTATTCATCCAGTTATTGAAAGGGTTAAATTAAGGGATCTACACAGAGTGTCAGTGTATTTCCCAATATATAGTGATGTTATGTAAGAATGAGTAAATGGTATTTAACTCCTGGTTGATCTCAGACATAATCTATTGGATTATATCTTTTTTTTGTCGTATTCCATGGCTGACAAGTTCTGCTGTTGAAAGAGTTAGCTGAAGAGACAGACTCTGTAGAAGTTAAGGCCTTACTCTCCCTGGAGGCAGAAGTGCTTCTTTAGACCGACAATTAGTTCTGCTTGTACCCACAAGTATATCTGAAGATTTCATTATGAACTTCCATGCCGTGAGTTTAGCAATAAAAAGAAGTGATTCATTGCTTGCTGTAACTTGAATGAATCTCAGGGGAATGTTGAATAAGAAAAAAAATGCAAAGACTGAAAACTATAGTTTATATGAGTTCATTTACTGTTCTTAAAGAGGAAACTCCAGAAAGAAAAAAAAGCCATTTTAATGGTCATCAAACTTAGGTATACAGGAGGGTGGAAGGAGGGAAGCATGTGAGTGTGTTTAAAAAAAAAAAACAGCAGGTGCTGTGGCTGTCCTGTTATTATTTTTTGACTGTAGTAATGGATATGAGACTACTTGATCATATTTCATAAAATTAAGTATGCATACAAACTGACGTCACATAAAGTTGACAAAAATCTGCCGAATGTCCCTGGATTGTCTGTGTCAGTTTTCTTGTTGAACTATAATAATGTAGTTTTCACAGATCCTTCTTTGCCTGGGAATGAGTGGAATGAGGTTTTTCTACTATTTCTTCCAAAGACAAATAAATCTACAGCTATTTAAAAAACACTATGGAAAATGACAAAATGTTAACACTGCCCTGGTGTAGTGCGTCATTTAGAATAGGTTTTGACGGGTAAAGATAGAAGTGAAGAATTAAGAGGAACT